GTTTGGGGGGTTCTTTGGGGGTTCTGTGCTCGGCTGCCCAGCGTCCCCTTGGGGGAGACAGGCGGCTACGTAAATACGACTTATAAATAAAGCTGGCGGGGGGACTTCCACCCTCTGGGGGGCGCCTTGTGCTTGGCCACTGGGGTGCTGTGAATGGAGCTGGGGGGGGCTGGAGTTGGCTTTGGGGGGCCCCAGCGGAGACTCCCGGCCCTGAAAGAGCGCAGCTGTGCCAACTGGGTAGGTGCCCCTTTGCCTTGTCCTTGTGCCCGGTGGATGGGGGCAGTGCTGGGGGAAGGGGCTTCTGAGCGTTGGCTGGCTGGCCTCCCCCCACCCTTTCCTGCCCAAAGCTGTTCCGATGCGCCCGGATGCCTTCCCTGAAGCAGAGGCCCCTGGAGGGCCAGCGAGGGGAGGGAAGTGGGTAGGGTGGCAGGCTGGCAGAGGGGTTGCGGGGCAGAGAGATCTCCTCTCCGTGTGCCCTGCCCTTCTGGTTTGAAAGCCTCCGGGCAGGAATGCCACCGTCGCGGGCTCTTCATCTCCGTGCGGCTTCAGACCAGGGCTGGGCCGCGAATCAAGGAAGCGACGGCTGCCATCCAGGCCACTGGCAATTGGGGGGAGGGGGCTCCAGCAAAACTGGGGGGGTGGGGGTGGCTAGGATGGCAACGTGTGTTTGGTGTGTCGGGAAACTCCGGCTGGATTCTTTGGGAGCAGATATCCCAACCGTGGGCCTTGGGGAGGGGGTGCACTCCCAGAATTCCCCAGCCAGCCTGCTGACTGAGGGGGCTGGGGAATTCTGCCCGCCTCCAGGGCCACGGTTGGGAAACCTTGGTGTAGAGGCCTGAGCCAGCTGCTCGGGCAGCTCCGTGGCTGTGAGCCTCTTTCTGGCGGGCTGGTTTTGCAGCTCTGGCGGACTCAGAAGCTGGCCCGCTGCCCCCTGGTGCGCCGGACTTCGGTTCCCCTGATTTCCGGCCTGGGGACGGATGGCGTGGGCACCTGAGGGGCTTGTGGGCCAGCACGTTGAGCTCTGCTCCCCAAGGCCTCTGAGCACCACAGAGAGCCGGTTCCGCAGGGCCTGTTCGGGCGGGGCTGGGGGCTTCCCCGCTGTGCCAGCTGTGGGGCCGGGAGCCCTGCTGGAGTGACGCCCGGCTGTCCCCACAGGTGAGGCACCGCCAGTCAGGGCAGGTCCTGGTGCTGAAGATGAACAAGCTGACCAGCAACCGAGGGAACATGTTGCGCGAGGTGCAGCTGATGAACCGGCTCTGCCACCCCAACATCCTCCGGTAGGCCAGGAGGCCCCCCCCCCCGGGCTGGAGGAAGGGGCCCTGCTGGGGGGGAAGGGAGGGCCAGGCTGAAATGGGCCCCAGGGGAAGAAGGGCCGGGAGGCTCCGCCGCCTGCTCCTGGCCCTCCTGCGGGGGGGTCCCAGGGGGGAGCCCCAAGCAGAGCTCCTTGTGCCCAGAGAGGCCCCTGGGGGTGGGGGAGGGTGAGCATGGGGCCCAGGTCCAGGGCAGAGCAGCGGGTGGCCCTGCTCCCTTCCCCCCAGGGGCGCTGGGGACGGAGGGGGGGCGCTAAGGGGGCCCAGGCAGGGGGTCTCACTGCTGACGGTTCCTCTCCCCTCCTGCCGCCAGGTTCATGGGGGTCTGCGTCCACCAGGGCCAGCTGCATGCGCTGACAGAGGTGAGTGTTGGGGCCGGGCATGAAGGGTCGGCCAAGGGCCCGGCTGATCCAGGGGACAAAGGGCCCCCAAACTTCCTCTCCTTTCTCTCCCCGCAGTACATCAATGGGGGGAACCTGGAGCAGCTGCTCGACAGCCCCACCCTGCTCCCCTGGCCCGTCCGCCTCAAGCTGGCCCTGGACATCGCCCGGGGGCTCTGCTACCTGCACAGCAAGGGCATCTTCCACCGGGACCTGACCTCCAAGGTGGGGAGGGGGGCTGTGCTGCGCCCCACCCCTCCCCCTGCCTGGGCCTCAAAGTGGGCAGAGGATTCGGGGGGGGGATCCCCAACCGGCTCCCGGATGAGCGGGGGGGGCGCTGGTTGCGGGAGGGGCCTTCCCTGGAAGGAGGGGCTGCAGAAGGAGAGGCTCCTGCTGTGGGGCCCCTCGCCAGCCCCGCACCCCCTTTCTAGGGCCCAGAGAAGGGCTGGCAGAGTCCCTTGGCCCTCGTGCCCCCCCCCCGCAAGCCCTCTCCTTATTCCCTGGGGGGGGGAGGGTTGTCTGGTCAGAGATGCCCCATCCTGGGAGCTGCCTTTTACCTGGGATGGCCTCTCAAGTGTCCCCCTCCCCCCCCCCCCGCGGCCCGGCCTTTACACAGGCTCTCCCCCCCCTTGCAGTGAGGGCGGTGAGAAGGAGCCCCTGGCTGTGGTGGGCTCCCCCTACTGGATGGCCCCCGAGGTCCTGCGTGGGGAGCTGTACAACGAGAAGGTGAGCCACACGAGGAGGAGGAGGAGGAGGAGGAGGAGCAACAATGGGAGGGGGACTGCGGGAGGGGGAGGAGGAAGGCACCTGCTTGCCCCC